CAGTTCTTTGAATCAGATTCAGGCAAACAATTTTATAAAAATTTTCTTGACATTCTTCTCGACATTTCATTAAAATTATCCTGCGATATACGCCAACATATTTCTAAGAGATAAAACTAGTTTGTCTAAATCTGTTCTAAATTTGTTTCCACTTTAATCCTAAACCGTACGAGAGAACATATCAGCAGCAAGGCGCGAGATTTCACGAGATTTTATCGATAGTATCGAAGAAAAGACGTTGCAAAGCTTCTAATGCAATATCGTGGCGCATGATATTATCACGGACACGCTCCGACGCGAGGGACTTCCAATCTCCGAAAGGTCCCTATTGTTGCGAAATTATCTCTTCTCTTTGCGCCGGGCTTTATCCGATTATCTGGGCGTATCGATCATCGCACCGTCGATCATTTATTAAAGGCGCGACTCTGATGGCCGACACGGCACCGAAACGATGACGAATTACCCCGCAGATGTATGCACGTACGTTGCTGGCGATATCTCTCTCTCCGTACGTCTCCCTCTTTTACACCCTCGAGCACGGTAACGCTGTTATTAACAATACATAACGCTTTTGACCAAGAAAAAAAAAACCAAGGCGAGATTGTCGTATAATTATCGTCGACGTGTAAATTGTATATTGTATATATATATCTATATTTTTGTATATATATATATTTATTCGTCACACAACCAACGATACGCATATCATATAGCCATCGTATCCCCCCCTCTTTATAAGGACCCTTTAACCAGGCATGCCAGTTTCGCTGTATGTGAGAATGAAGCTTTAGTCGTAGTGCATGCTGGCCGTCCACGTGCACCGAAACCACAAGTTACAAGTGATTACGTGGCATAACGAGACGAATTTCGAATGGTAAATTAATAATAAAACAAAATTTATTCATTTAAAACTTATAATTAATAATAAGTATTCAGTTATTTCTATTGATATTTTTTAACTAGCTCTATTAACATTCGTAACGTAGCTTCATCAAAATTGTGAATAATTTCGCGATAACTTCGTGCTTTTTCTTCAAAAATAATTTCGAGACAATTGTTTTTTTTTTTTTTGTACTCTTTTGTACGAAAGCAAGTAGTTTTCGTTCGTTTCGTTTTGCCACGGCTGAACACCAAGTTTTCCACGACTCACACGATTCCATGAGGAAGCGTAGAGATTGTACAGTTGAATTTAGGGTTTAGATGAAAGATAGATTGTCCGAGCAGCTGTAGAGAGATCACGCAGATGTTCGCAAGAGATCGTTGTGTTTCATAGTCGCAAAATATGAAATAGCACTGAAGTTACTCACACGTGGGTCCGATCCGGGACCCCCAGGACGTATTAGCGGTAGCTCCCCTTAGATGTACAGAAGTTTTGACGTACTACCATGTACTTCGCGCCAGACTCCACCGACTCTGCTTCATATTTCATATTCATGTCGGAAGCGGAATGCGATTCGCGACGGTAGACAATGTATAACTCTCCCCGTACGCATCGCGGCGCCTCAAAATCAATATCGCTCCGCCTTCGCGAAATTGCATTCTATTGAAATTCCGCGTCTCGATTGAACGCAACCAGACGCGCGTGAAACGATACCAATAAAAAAAATATTGCCATTCTGCTTCCCCTCCCGAATAATGCTTATTAATGTGGCGAATGATTCTGCTTGCATCACGACGATATGTAACTGTTAAGAAAAGACAATAATAGGGACGTCCTGAAATCAGATATTTCGTGGGTTATAACTCGCCCAACGTGCTACACGGATATCTTTTTCCTTTCGAACGTTAACCGCGCGAATGGTTATTGTATTTCGATGCGAGGCGAGGAGAAGATGATTGCGGCAGTAATCCGATAAAACAATTAGCGGGATTTTCACGTTTCTATCTATCTTGATCGTAAATATGCGCACAATTATATCACTTAAACGTGCTTGAGAGCTACGTAGATTAGTCTTCGTGAAAATATTGTCAGAATATGAAGTATATTTGTAAGAGGCAAAATTATACAAGGAATGTGTTCAGGGAAAATATCAATTAATATGTAATTACTCTAACGAAACCGTTTGGTGAAATAAAGCCAATCGAAAATATACGAAAAAAAAATGTAATATCTTTGTAAACGAGATAATGAAGAAACATACTAGTATAATAGTATACTAGTATAATACTAGTATAATATAGTATAATTTTAGATACTAGTATAATTATTAAATATTTTACATACTAGTATAATTTTTTTAACAAGATAATAAATTTAATGTAAAATAGAATATTCGATGGTCGATGTTGGGTGACATGTTTAACATGCCGAAATGTCACGCGTCACATGCAAAAATTAATTAATTAACGTATACACATTCGTGATAATTATTCGCGAATATTTTGCACCCAAAATGTTATCATTTTTTCATTAAATTTACATATCGCAACGTTCTTGCTGCAAAGATAAATACTGAAAGAACGATCAAAATTCAACGAATTATTAAAATGTGACAGAATATGCGACGAAACGAGAGATTGCAATATAATACGTGTGTGTGTGTGCTCTTTAATATACCAACAATAAAATCAGATAATCACATAGAGGGAGAGCACTCATTAGTAATTATTAAAGTAGGGAGGATAGCTTTCAATAGTGTTTAATGAAACGTAGTAATTAACGAAAATTGCCGTACATTCTCACTATAAATGCCGTTTGAGAATGTTCAATGAATATTTTGATAAATTAATATATTTTTTGTTACGTCACGGCTATCTATTTGAAAATTAGGTTGCGATAATATGCTCTTTCTAGTATAACACTATAAAATTATATCAGATAATTATATAGAGAGAGAGAGACCATTCGTTAGAGTTTCTCTAGTAATCAATAAAGTAATAGAGGATAGATACGGCACACGATAGTGCCTAAAAAGACCTCGTTGAAGTTAATTAAAATTTTCGCTTATTCTCATCACGAGCGTTGCTTGAGAATATTTGATGAATATTTAATTAAACAATTTCGTGAAATTTTTGTCTTTATTACGGCTATTGATTTCAAAATTATTCCACAAGCCGCAGAAACGTTCGCATAAGCATTCCTGCATACGAATATCGTATGTGCAAATATCAACGTACATAAAAAAAATACTCGAATGAACTGACGTGGAACGTAATATTGAAATAAAAAATACGATATATGCAAAAATAACAATATCAAGTAACGATAAGAATAGAAGATATGTCACGAGCCAAATAAAACACGATGATAGTGCTGCTTCTGCACGAGCCGCGATACGTACGACGCCTGTGCTTTTTTACTTGCAAGCAATTATGGATTATAAAAACGGGTAAGACGAGAGGGCGGGTGGGCAGGGAGGGAGGAAATGATCGCAAAATCGTCAGGTGCGCGCTGTTGTCAACGGGACGTGGATGGGCTGTGTTGTTGTTTCAACCTGTTCGTTATTTTAGCCCGCACCAGCTCGTGTTACGTAGGTGGCAATTAGTACAATTTGGCGCGTCACAGTGGCCCATTATTCGTGCTTTTTTCCCATGTAGCGTCCGAGCTCATGCGGACGCACCATGTCGACAGATAATGGAGCGGTTACGTACATACAATAATTTCATCAAGAGTATTATGAAGCTCACATATACGCGTGGCTATAAATTGCGAGCCTTTAAACCATTCAAGTGTAATGAAAACGCCCACAGAGAATACATTCTCGTCACGTTTCCAAGTCTCTCTTTCACAAAATCACTGTATCTGTCTAGCAAATGATTAAAATAACTACTGTATGTAAGCCTAAGATTCGGTTACAGTTAAAATTATTATATTTCATATTATTATACACACGTTCACGAAAGTCATTGCTATAATCTACATGACTGTAATATAATTCCAATTATTTTACATTAATTAGTCTCCATAGATTGTGCTTCCGTATAAATTCATATTAATTATTTTAATAATAATTTATAATTATATGATAATTCGAATAATTAGTTTGATTATATTAAGATAATAAGATTTTCAATTAAGGAAAATACTGTGCTTAAATGAGAGGTCTAAAATTTGATTTTTCCAACTAAAATATTTCTCTTCAACGTTATCGTTAATTTAAGATATATACGACGTCATATTCAAAAGCTTTGCCTTACCAATACTAGAACTTTGAGGTTGAATGAAACATATCGACGGCGAGAATTATGTGAAAGAATTGAATCAAAAGGTGAAATTAATTTTCGCGAGTGTAGAAATTTGAAAGACCGGAGAGAAGGCAATAATTGCACCATCTCGCTCTGTCCACATGGGCGCGACGCAGGTTTCAAAGCGAGGGAGGCGAAGGACCCGTTCACCAACACCTCTCCCTCAGCGTGCTTACGCACTTAATGTCCGTGTACCACCAGGTCGACGTGCGACAAGACGCTTATATTTATATGGATTATTATGGACATAGTCGCGGAATCGTCGAGAAACCCCACGCATCGCTCTGTACCTTGTTGTACATATGTTTTGCACGCGCCGACAAGGAATGTTTTCTTTCTTTCTACTTCACATTTGCCTCACATTAACACCCTTTTACTTTGCTCGATCACGTCTCGCTGTTGTTGCCGCTGACAATGTTCATGCAAGAATGGCCCATTCACAGCTGATGTGTAACCTGACGTGCTGGCGATCTTTGAGTTCAGTTTTGCGCGGAAAGCCAATTGCCACAAGTCTAAAAGTCTCTGTCGAAACTTATGAGGACAACTATTTTTTTTTCATTATATAACAATTATGTAAAAACTCTTTTTTTCAAACATATTGTAATATGTTATGAATTTCATGATCGGTTACATAATGGATAATTATTGTTATGTAAACTGATCTGAGCAGCGAGTAAATTGTTTTAGTTTGGTGAATGACATCAAATTGAATTTCGAGAACGCCAGTGTGCCGTCCACAGCTTTAACATGTTGCGTAAATTTTAGTTAATAATATTAATGGCGATCGAAATTGATAAACTTCTTGTGTTGTGCAGGGCAAGTTTTTCTATTGTACCGATGCATCGAAAATGACGCAGAATGCGTGCCAGTAAGTTCTGATTGTGTTATAAAGACTCAATTAATTAAAATACCGTTTCATTTGATTCTAAATCTAAATGTTGCGACACGAAAATATTTTTCTTTTTAAATTATCAATGATACTTTATATCATACAGTGATATGCGACGTAAAGATAAAATGTGATCTAAGAATATATTAAATAGAGATTGCAATGAGGTTTTCAATACATTTAGAATTGGAAAATTTCAGTAGAACACATTTTCAAATTACAAGCTTTTCTCCTTTCCAGGGGTACTTACTTGGAATTTGAAAACGGTAACATCGATAGACCCATCGTGAAACAGAGAGAGTGGCTTCAGTGGCGATTTCATTTCGATGATGTCGCTAAAGCGATGTTGACCCTCTTCACAGTCTCGACTTTCGAAGGTTGGCCATCGTAAGTACATTCGCGTTGCATCTTACGAGAAACATTGTTTCAAGATTTTATCACGAGTTAAAGTGCGGTTATGCAATCGTTACTTTCGCAAACGACGTCGATGTCGTAGCAATAAAGTTTCCATCAAGTATTCATTTTTCATATCTCTCTTTTTATGTGTTATTGTTTCTTCGTATCCTTTGCTTTATTAAATAAGTGGCTGTAGGTGCCAAATATCATCAACATTGTATATCCTGTGTCTACTAATAGATTATTAGAATGGTCGATCGACTCCAACGAAGAGGATCATGGACCAATTCATAATTTTCGGCCGATAGTGGCCGCTTACTACATCATTTACATCATCATCATCGCATTCTTCATGGTGAACATCTTCGTCGGTTTCGTTATCGTCACCTTTCAGAACGAGGGTGAGCAAGAGTACAAAAACTGTGAGCTCGATAAAAATCAGGTGAGTCATCGCGCGCATCAAATTGATTTAACCCTTAACACTTATATGATAAGATCATACTTGATTCCAAGAACATTTTCAATTTTAATTCCTAAATAGATTTTTTTAAAGAACAAAAAAAAACTGTCATTAATGTTAATCATATGTTAATCTATAATATTTGGAGATGTAGAACACAATCATCACTAATATTTTATTCTTTTTCTTTAAACTTTCTTCTAACAACAAAATTTATAGAATAAATCTTATTTTTTAGAATAAATCTTAAAATTCTAAAAATTAAGAATTAGAAAATGATTAATTTTTAAACTAATAAACAATTGAGATATTTTGGAATCATAAAAGTGTTACCATTGTAATAGTATAAAGAATAACAATCGCTTCTCTGTGCAGCGAAATTGTATCGAGTTCGCGTTGAAGGCTAAACCGGTGCGCCGATACATACCGAAGCATCGAATACAGTACAAAGTTTGGTGGTTCGTCACCTCTCAACCGTTCGAGTACACGATATTCACGCTGATTATGATCAACACCGTGACGCTCGCGATGAAGTTCTACCGGCAACCGGAAATATACACGAGCGCCTTGGATGTTCTCAATATGATATTCACCGCTGTTTTCGCCCTCGAGTTCGTGTTCAAGCTGGCTGCATTTCGATTTAAGGTGCGAGCTCGCACTTCTATGTATATATATTATATACATAGAAAATTATTTCTTATTATATATATTACTTATTATAACGCATTTTGTTACGTTGAAATTGTTCATTTTTAATTACGCCGGTGTAATAATTATATATGCGCTCATAAGCACATTCGTTATTAATTTGCAGAATTACTTCGGCGATGCGTGGAACGTCTTCGACTTTATTATCGTGCTCGGAAGTTTTATCGATATCGTTTACTCGGAAGTTAACGTAAGTATTCGTTGCGCTTGACTTTGATCGAGCACCCGAAGCAATATTCGCGATTATATTTAACGAGTAACAAGCGAAATCGGTAAAACTGTTTCACGATTCTTGTAGCCTGGTCAGTCCACTATCATTTCCATCAACTTCTTCAGGCTGTTTCGCGTAATGCGATTGGTCAAGCTTCTGAGCAGAGGAGAGGGCATCCGGACGCTTTTGTGGACGTTTATTAAGTCCTTTCAAGCTCTGCCCTACGTCGCTCTTCTCATTATTATGCTCTTTTTTATTTATGCTGTGATAGGCATGCAGGTGAGCAAAATTGATCGATTGAAAAATTGAAAGTGTAAAAGCGACAGCGTGATTCAAGCGAATGCTTCTTCTTAGGTCTTCGGAAAGATCGCGATAGACGACGACACGTCGATAAATCGCAATAATAATTTCCAGTCCTTTCCGCAAGCTGTGTTGGTATTATTTAGGTCGGCGACAGGTACGTATATTTTGTTATTTGGTGTTAAAAGTGAAAATATTACTATTGACGGATTGGTGAATTAATTTTTGCCTAGTAAAAAGCAACGTCTAACTTAAGTTTGACAATTAAAAATTAAATATTGTAAGATATCGAAGAAATTTTCATAAGCACATATTATCATCAAAAAGAATAATCGATCAAATGTTTGCGGCCATAGGCGAAGCGTGGCAAGAAATCATGATGGCTTGTTCATCGAATCCAGGCATAGTTAAATGTGACTCTAACAGCGACGAAATCAATAATCCGGTCGGCTGCGGATCGGATATTGCATTTCCCTACTTCATATCTTTCTACGTGCTCTGTTCATTTCTTGTAAGTGCACCTAGTTTTACTTTGCCATTAAAATTAATAGCACTTCTAAATTCTAACGTTAACACTATATATCTCGCGAAAAACAGATCATCAATCTTTTTGTCGCCGTTATCATGGACAACTTCGACTACCTGACGAGAGATTGGTCAATTCTCGGGCCGCACCACTTAGACGAGTTTATTCGCCTGTGGTCCGAATACGATCCCGACGCTAAGGGACGTATTAAACATCTCGACGTAGTAACGCTGCTGAGAAAAATATCACCACCCTTAGGTTTCGGAAAATTGTGTCCCCATAGAGTAGCTTGCAAGGTCAGTAGACAAATTTATTTAATCAAATGTAAACCTGCTACCTGAATTTAGCAAATAAGTTGTTTCATAGTCTAAAATAAAGTTTCATTTCAAATAATCATCTCTAATTTCGGAATTAAAAATTTAGAGACTCGTCTCGATGAATATGCCGTTGAACAGCGACGGCACCGTGTTGTTCAACGCGACATTGTTTGCCGTTGTGAGAACATCGTTGAGGATCAAAACAGAAGGTAACATTGACGACGCAAATTCCGAGCTCAGAGCGGTAATCAAGAAGATCTGGAAGAGAACCAGTCCGAAACTTCTGGATCAAGTCGTTCCACCGCCCGGAGGTAACGAAATGTTTCCGTTCGCAAATGTAACATTTGTTTTTTTTTTCTCGCAAAATTCAACTAATACTTTTAATCGTCCTTTCCAGTGGATGATGAGGTGACGGTTGGCAAATTTTACGCGACTTTTCTCATCCAGGACTATTTTCGTCGATTTAAAAAACGCAAGGAACAAGAAATGAAGGATGGTGATAGAGATTGTCACAATACTGTGACTCTTCAGGTAATCTGTGAGAAATGAAACTAAATAGAATTGCTGGATAACGCTTGGATGTTTTATGATATTAATTATCAAAATAATATTAATAAATTTTAATTTCAAAGGCCGGATTGAGAACGTTACACGAAGCTGGCCCTGAATTGAAACGCGCGATTTCCGGCAACTTGGAAGAACTCTTAGACGACAATCCGGAACCCATGCACAGGGTGAGACTTGCGATCGTCATATTTTTATATTTGACAAGCTCTTCGATAATAATTACATAATCATTTTTACGCACACATCGCAGCTATTTTATAGTTTATATCCAAATTTCTATTGCAATGTGTGTCACTGAATTAGAAAATATTTTTCTAGAGAAACCACTCGCTGTTTGGTAGCGTGTGGTCCAGCATGCGAAAAGGACATCATAATTTTCATAGAGCGAGATCGCTAAAGGTTAACTCCGCCGCTGCAAAGGTAATGTTTTAAGGCAAAATTCTATTCTACTGATTGTTGTACTCTAATCGATATCTATTTTTTATAGGCTTCCCCGACTAATTCCATAGACTTTCTACCTTACGCCTCGTTACGGAGGCCTGGTGGCCGTCTGGATGTTGCTAATCAAATCACTCACCAAGTTGTGCCAAATGTAGCGGGGTAGATATATATTTTAATTGATATAATTTCTCGAGATTCATAAAAATTGAAATTAAATTCTGATTACTTTCTCGTTACTGTGGGTTGTTTCTGCTACTTGCAAAGTTTCTGTATGATCAGAATAACTTCAAAATTTCACAAGTTTATATTATATCATGGATATTATAATTTAACTTTATATCTAACTTTGTATATAATAATTTAACTTTATAATCAAGTCATTAAGGTAAAAAGGGATAATTACATTAATCCAGAGAAAAGTTATTTTACCTATTATATATATTTATCAACAAAATAAAAAATTTAAAAAAATTTATTGAATTACTTTAGAAATTTTTGTTTTCTAAAGTAAGAAAGTTATTTTCATTTTCTTTGAGGCTTTCAAGAAAAGCTACTGATTCATCAAATTGACTATATTAAATTATTGGTTAATATGTTCACACGTAAAAAAAATTATCCTACAGTGGTCTGAGCGATGGCGCGATGAACCAATTGGGAACAGATCCGCGATTGACGGGTGTCGAAGAGAGCATACCTCTGAGACCGCTCGCTGCCTTTGGCAACCCGTTGCAGCAGCCTTATCAGAGCACGTACAAAGTGGTCGAGTAAGTACAGAATGCGTACGCGAGCGAGCGATAAGTTATCTACCCTTCTGACTATTATGTCCCACCCGAATGTAATCGACGGTTACTCTGCGACGATCTCATATTTTTTTCCCGATATCACATCATAGTGCATGTAGGATGCTCATCGATATCAGTTTAGTTTCTTAATTGGCTCAATGTGTCGCGAAATAAGTCTAACTCCGTAAATTTAGTCGAAAAAATAGCGCTGCAGATCCCATCATTTTTTATTCGATTATTAAAATTATTTATTGTTATTTACATTACAAACGTGCGATAATGTTAAAGCGACAAACAAAAAACGCGTTTATTGACGATATAGTATTGCATTTCGTTTACGGTTTTATATACGATTTAGCTAATTTTTTTCATTTGCGAGAAGATATATTTGTTTTGCCTCTTAGCGCCGTGCGAGCGATTCGCATCACCTCTTATTATCCTTTTCGCTTTTCTGTTTACTATCATACGTTTCAGTGGATCGGGTAGCGGTAACTATCTCCATCCCAATAGCGAATATGGTAAGATGAGTTAGGGCTCTGCGATCAGTAGCTGGCTTTCTTTCTTTATTTATCTTTTTTTTTGTTAATCCGCATTGCTCATTCTGCGCGCTTGCATGTGTTTCTCATTAATCATGTCTCGATAACTCTCGTTCAGCTGTGTGTTCTATATTTCTACAGTATGCGAATAAAATGCATCCGCGTAAAAGGGAAGCGATACGCAAGATTGCTAATTAGACGCGGGTCGCATACGCATTTTGAAATGCGGAGAGAATGCGTTTGAGTCCTGCGTATGGTAGCGCTCATGTCTGATCGCATGTTGTTTGTACTACTAAAGTCGTAGATTATCGCTAATACTTATGACGATAATGCTTGCTATGTGCCGCCAAACGCCTCATTAAATTCATTCATTTAAACTGATGAAGAATAATATGTGATAAAACATATTTATCTTTTGAAAACACTGTCTTTATATGTCAAATCATCTTAAATTATTTAATTAAGTAATACATGTAACAAAATCGTATCTTTTAAAGAAATTTTAAGTAATTAAATTCATTTAAGTAATTAAACTCATCACAAATTACAATAAATAAAATAGGTGCAATTGAAACTAAAATAAATCAAAAAAATAAAATAATTAATTAAATTACAAAAGTTCAGTAATTAACGCTCCTGCACTCTAAAAAGTGAATTGGAAAAAACGTTTAGATTTAAAACGTTTTTCCCAAAACAAGCGTTCAATAATGAAAAATGTTTCAGATTTAAACATTTTAGTGTTTTAAATCTAAATACCCTGGTGTTTAAAATATTGAAAACGCTCAAAAGTGTTTACTGTTTTTCTTCAAACGGAAAAAAGTGTTTTACTATGATAGTTAAACGTTTACTTTCTTCACACACCGAAAAACAAAACACCTTACTGAAATTAAACGTTTATTAAAGTAAAACATTTTTTTTCAAGACGTTATATTCTGATGAATTGTGAAGTGCATTGAGAGGCGTTGCTAAGGACGACCAGAATTAAAGTTTGAAGATTTTATCATTATGACATAATAGTAAAATTTTTTGATAAAGAGGAAAAATTAGCAGATTTTATTTGTACCGATAATATTATAAAAATAAAAGTTGAAAATCCAACTGCTGCCAAATCCATTCTTTGTTTGTTGAGATGTTATTATGCGTGGGACTCCCATTATCCAACAAATTACAAGACGGTGCTGGATTTCTTTGATAAAGTATTGTTGAACAAAATCATACACAATAATCAAAAGCTTTCCAAGTTTTGGACCTTATGTGTTGTTTGTAAACTTAATAAATTAAATAAAAAAATTAAATTAATTAAATAAATTAAATAAAACGGTTTTTGGCGTTTTATTTTAAAACTTTACAAAATAAACACTTTAAAATTCGGAAAAGTGTTTTATTCGAAAACATCTTTATATGTTTCAGAATAAAACATTTTTCAAAACTAAACACTTTTTAACGTTTTACATGTCCGTTTAAAAATTAAACATTTTTGAGCGTTTCAAAAGTGAAGACAAGAAATAAAACACTTTAATGTTTTAAATTTAAACACTTTCTTTTATGAGTGTGAGAAAAAATTTTCTGTGCTTTTTTTCAAGTTCTCTTTAAACATCTGCAAATAAAAAAAGAACTTTCGAGGCGTTCGGAGGTACGTGAATCTATCACGCGTACACGCACTAACGTACTAAGAGCCGCCGTTGCGCTTTTCTTTTCCCCCTTCGCCTGCCGCGTGTGCGCGTGCACGCTCATGCAGTCTTCAAGACGGAATCGAGCAGCAGTTGACGCCACCCACGCCTCCGCCGCGACGGAATCCACCGTCTTCGTCCACCGGCACCCCGAGCACCGGCACCGCGCACACTTCCGCCGCTGCAACGGCAGCGACGGCATCGGCATCAACAACCGCAACGACAACAAGCACGACAACGAGCGGATCGAGCGTCGCGACGACGACGATCACCGCGTCGTGTACCACGAGCGCGAACACCTCGACCACCGCGACGAGTTCGAGCCCTGCTTCTTCGTCCACCGGGACGAACTGTTACAATGCCTACGCGTCGCGGGGCTGCTGCGTCGATTGCGCAGTCTGGAGTAATCACGGTAACGGGAACGGCGGTTTAGTCATGCAAAGAACTGTGCTGGCGTCAAGAAGATTGTTCATTTTCAACCGCATTCTAATTGACCAATTTATATTTAATCGACAGAACAGAAGGAATCATAAATAAGAAAAAATAATTTATAATAAATTAAAAGAAAGTAAAACGCCGAATATTAGCAATACAGAATTTTGAATTTAACTTGGTCGATAAATTAATTCATTTTTTGTTGTGATTGACAGTTCATTAGCGACATGAGAAACATATGATTCTAATCATTCTAATCATTAATGGCAAAATTAATCAAAATTATATAGACTTCTCGTCTTCTTTCATTTTGCTATAACAGCATCCAGTAAAATTTTGTCGCGTTCGCCAGCACAATTTGAACAGACCGAATGAAAAAGAGTTTCGATTAGCTACATTTTGATAAAATCTCCCCGTGTCCGTCCGCATGCAGCCGTAGACGATTGTGACGACGAGGACACGACAACGGGAAGCGGATCGAGCGATTCCGGAAGATGGAACCCGCACTCGGAGGGCGGCGTAGCGCGAGGCACGACAGGGAAACCTCATGTCACCGTGCTAGGTGGTCGGTCCAGGTCGACGAAACGTCGATCGAGGGGCCGTCGCGACCCCGCAACCGCCGGCGGCAAATCGGCTCCGGCGAGCTTCCGATCGCCCGCAACGGCGACGGCGGACCAGTCGACGGGGTCCGCGACCGGCGCCGCGGCGTCGGACCCCGGCACGCGCACCGTCGCCAACGGCCTGAAAATGGCGCAAAACCAGGCGATCGCCGTGGCCGGCTTCCTCGCCGACGTCGATTCGCGACAATGGCGCGTCTGCGCTTCCTGCTTGTCACACCGAGCGTCTTATCATGGCAGAGGTGACTACAGCACGCATATTAATCTTTTACGATCGCATATTACAACATAAAGCAGATATACTGCAATATACTTTACTTTACTACTTTAACAAATAGTCAAAATGATTTACAAGTTATGTTTTATAACTGTCTTTTTTATAGCACTTACTTTGTCAAAATAATTCATAAGTTGGGTTCTATCATGATTCATCATAAATTTATACTAAAAATATAATGTTATATTTTTCAAATTTTTACAAAATGGTATAAAAGAGCAGTTATTTATTATATTATACGTCAGGCATTACTGGCGAATAAAATATGTAATATTTTCTCATTTCTAAAAATTATCGATCGTAAAAGATTAATATTGAATATATATCAATGCACGCTCAAATATGAGCAATAATTTTTTATTCTGTCATGTTTACGGATATTGTTCAATTTGTTTCTTCAAATTGCACTCAATCTCTCTGCACTAATTTTTCTAAATTTTTCTAAATATGATATTTGAAACACAGGACTGATATCTCACTTAATTTCTCTGCACTTCTTGTCGGTACTTTTTCTAAATTTTTATAAATATATTTGTTGAAACACAAGATTGATATCTTACTTAATTTCTCTGCACTTCTTGTCGGTACTTTTTCTAAATTTTTATAAATATGATATTTATTGAAGCACAGAATTGATATTTAACTTAATTTCTCTGCACTCTTGTCGGTAATTTTTCCAAATTTCTATAAATATGATATTTGTTAAAGCACAATTGATAAATATTATTTATCACTTTTTATCAAACAATATGTTCAGTCAATTTTCTTTTGATATAAAGTAGTCAAAGTAATTTGATCGAATGAAAATGGAATAAAGCTATCATGTAAAATTGTTTTATAAAATCAAAAAGCTCTAACGTATAAAGTATAATCATTTTTCATTCGAGCAATTCCCGCACGATAAATTTTTCCAAGAGGAACCGATAAGATCAAGAGAGACGTGGATATAAAGCAAAGTGTTACTCAGGTAGTCAACCGCTGCTCGAAGCGCTCTATCAGCTTTCAAACTAACATTTTAACCTGGATTTGTCGTCTAACGCTTTTTTTCTCTGCAATTCAATTCACTAACAATTTTGCGAAGCTTGAGAAAGCACTCGTGTGTCAATTAGTTTGTGTGCGCTATCGTGGCTAACGCAAAGATTTCGCTGAGACCTATTGAAAGCAAATCAAAAGCGATAAGGAGGCAGAGCATAACTGATTCGAGCTAACACTCTGACGCCTCTCCTCGTCTGTCAGTTTCCTGGGCTGCAGAGAGTAACGGAAGCGTCGGCGCAGAGCGCCTGTCCCACAGCATGCCCGGCAGTCCCGCGGACCGGAAGCCGAATTTCGAAGTCATCGGTAGCGCGGAGAGCCTCGTCGGTCGGGTGAGTTTTAAAATTAACATTTAGAAATAAGAAATATTCTTTTAAAAAATCAATTTATAATTCATAGAATCTAAAGTGCAATTATTGACGAGGTATTTAGAAATACTGTGAATTAATGTAATAAGTTCAGATTAATTGAGACACGCTAATTAAATGATTGTTTGAATTACGCAAAATTTCAAAGTAAATTTCTTTCTAGAAATTATTTTTTTTTAAGTTTCTGTTTCAAATGAATGATTACCTCGATTAACCGTTTGAGATCTATTATATCTTAAAAATTTAATATCATCAGTAATTATATAAAAATGTTAAAAATGACTCGCATATAAATATTACCTAAGACGAGCTATTTATTTTTCGCTATCATACGTCACGATCTTTTTGTAATCAATTTTATTTTTCACAGAATTAAAAATATATAAAATTTTGAAACTATGTATTTAAAATGTAGTGTAATTTGTAATGGAAGAATCTTTAAAATGTATAAAAGTAACAAAACGCGTTAAAACATTTCTCTCTCCGCGCACTTTGTTTCAATTTCCATTAATCTTCACCGTCGCGTAATTGATTTTATCGCGTCTTCGCTAGGTCTTGGTGGAGCAAGGTCTGGGCAAATACTGCGATGCGGACTTCGTGCGATATACGTCGCGCGAGATGCAGGAGGCGTTGGACATGACGCGCGAGGAGATGGATCGCGCCGCTCACCAGCTG